TGAGCAGCATGGTGATGCAATCCGTCAGATAGACATCATCGTTCCGAAGACTGAATTCGAGGATAAGGGCAAGTTGCTAGAGCTTGCGGTGGAGCAAGCTTGCCTCCCTTGTTGACGCCAATATTGCTGAACGCAAATTCAATGACGAAGTCGTGAAACAGACAGTCACGAAACAAGAAGCGCTAGCCCGTAAGCATCAACGCAACACAACTGGCAGCAAGTTAGCGGTCGCCGAATCCAACAAGCAACTCCTGTTTATGAGCAATATCTCCACCGTCTATTATAATACTATTCAATTACCCTTTTATCGCTTTATGTTCTGTAGTTGATTCCGTACTTGCTAGTGTTGTGCTTTGCTCCTACTCACGACAATCTAGCTAGAAGGTGGGTAGATTCGGTGTCGACAGTAGTGACAATAAGTGTTGCAATAGCTATAGCAACTAGCTAGCTAGTTGCTATGCTTTATTGGTTCTGTGACGCTGATCGAAAATTTGGCTGAAGCGTGGGTAGCTAGCTACCTGGAGGGAAAAGATTTGGTTACATATTTAACGTGGATTAGGTCTCTCACCAGCAGAAGAGTTTCAGGCATATTACATCACTTTTATAGCTCTGTTTTTCTGATTCATCCATTTGGACAGATTCTTTTGTCGGCGATCGACAGAAGATCCATATCATTATAATTATCCGAACAGATCGATCCATTAGCAACTCATGCACCTCCAGTCTACACATGCCACTCATGCCACTCAGTGCCACTACATAGCCACTCATGCCAACAAGCACTCCGTTGGCACAAGAACATCATGCAATGCAGAATCGAGAGTTCAGAGTGGAAATTTTCGAATGATGACCAAAAAACCCGAGGAGCATTCTTTTGTCGATTCAAGTCCAAGCACACCCTCGCGGCCTGATTGTTTGGGCTCTTCTGTAGTTGTACTATGCAAGCAAGAGTGCAGTGTTGCAATGGAGGCTGCCGTCGGCCGTCGCATCCAAGTGGCGATCAAAGGTTGTGTCGATTTGGCAATCTTTTTGAAGCCGTCATCAAGCCACAGATACTACTGAAATGAGAGCAGGACAGTAGCACGACACGAAGATGCCTTGACAACAAGATCTCAGACAATGCAGATCCTCGGAAGCCTTCTGCGTCCTTGCAAGAACGATTGGCGTCGTCGAGAAGAAAGGAACTCTCTTTTTGATTCGTGGCTGATGCATGTAGTGTCCTTGGATAGCTTCGCAATGCACTGATCACTGTGATCGGAGTCGCCCAGATCTGGGAGCGAAGAAGATGATGGTGTTTATTTTCATGGTCTTCTGGATTGGCAGAGCGAGGACGGGTCCTCTCAACTGAAGTCCTTCTTTGATGGGGCATGTCAAAACCGGCAATTCGAAGGGCATGTTCCTCAGTGCTGGGCAATGAGTTTCTCTCTTGGCTCACTTCAGCTGATAGCAGCACTGAAATCTCCGATGAAGACAACAAAAAGCGGTCCGTCCGATCAGATCCAATCGAGCAATCCACAGCCCAGGTTTTCTCACCAGCATTGGTTGACCGTAATCCAAAGCGTCAAGATGTCAGAGCTACGCCATCAGTTTTCATAGCAGCTGGCCAATTTGCATCGCCCGACAGCACCCTATCCCCAGCTCAGAGTACATGCTCTCCTGTCACTTATGAATTTTCGTCGCCAACACTTCCATCCCGCCAAAATGCAAGCAATGAATGGGAGCAAGAAAACAACAGAACACGCCTTGATTTTAATCTGGCTCACAAGGTCCATACAACAACACAGACTGACTGATTCACGGCTAGATGATTTGCTGCTCGGCGAAGATCCAGCTCCTTGCTGACAGGAGATTCTTTCGAACGCAGGAACCTCATTCGAAGTCCGACCACTTGTTTCGTTGCCTCTGATCTTTTGGAACTTGGTGTACCATTCAAAGCGACTAGTCAGTCGAAGCTCCATCGATTCAATGGGGCCATCCAAGGCACAATCATTGGGCATAGTCCCATCATCGTTCCTCTCAGCTCGTACTCCACGGATATGGAAGCGGTATGATGCAGAGCCTGCAAACCGATCAAACGTTACAGCACCACGATAGTCATGAATCGTACCGTCATATGTTTCAAATCCAATGGCAACATGCCTTGTTTCGCCCATGCTGTCCGCATCATCAATAGGATCGAGTGAAACAATCGTTCGGTAGGAGAGAAGGGGGTCATGGGATGAGGCCCGTCCGATGCCAGGGAGGCCGTGCTGAGAAAGATCCATCGTGACAACACAAGAGCAAGGAGGATTATGAGATCGATAATGCGAATGTGCCATTAGCCAACAACACGCATGACACGGAGGAACATTCCCGGCCAGCCCACCGCGCCACAGAAACTTCCCGCTCAATTTGAAGGTCTGTCAACGGAGAGGAAGAAGAATATTTGGGGAGTTTTGAGTGTTGAAGAAGAGGCTGTGTGCCGCTCACACACACAAATCAATAGACGAAAAAGCTACTCACTCGCTCACTTTCATGAAAGCAGCAACCATGACATCGCTTTGCAATGAGGAAGTAAAAATTGCGTTCTTCTCAAAAGCAACTGCCAAAGCCACAGCGGTAAGCACTGACACTCTTTCCGAGATTGCCCAAGGTGTGAAGTGTGGACTCCGCCGGTGCCAAGATCGCCAAGCGGATGTTGACATGTTTGTATGTGTTCAAGGAAACAAATACATTCCAAATAATCTGCCAATTTGCCTCGAAGATGTCAATGCCACAATGGAACAAACTGCCAACGGGAACCTCACGCTGAAAACTCTCACTGGTGGGCATTTCCTACATGTTATCTTCACCGGTGGAGGCTCTCAGTTTCGCTTGGTTGATCGACAACCTCCTCGAGCCCAACAACCAGCTCCGCCTCGCCCTCCACCTCGCCCCCAACAACCACCTCGTAGGAACAACATGGCTCCTCCACAGCGGAGACGCACTCCGATGGAAAACGCGAAGGTCCGCAACAGATCCTCTTCTGATTCATCTTCCGAAGAAGAAATTGTGCCAGCTCCCCGTCGACAGAGGACCGTCGCTCGAGCACAACAAAAACAACAACAACTGGATGACAGCGACGATTCCTCGTCCGCTGAAGAGTATCAGAACTTCTCGCAGCTCACAGGGCGGGCGAAGCGCGGTTGAAGTGTCTGTAATAGCACCATATATGCCTGTTGATGCGGTCGGTATAGACGCTTTTCGTCATGGGCTGGTGGTTGGTGGCAACGATCGATTCAGTGCGAATTTTGTGGAGGTATTAGCTATATAAGTTATATCTAGGATGAATATTTGAATGTACGTCGCCCCCCGGTGGGCGAGGCTGGCGCTTAATGTCCCCTGGGAACCGATGTGTTGTAGCAGCTCCTTTCATACGATTCAGAAGGTCATGGAGCATTACCGCAAAAGAGTACCGGTACTCGAGTACCATACTAAGCACTGAGTTCTCGTACGCATACCGGTACTAGCGACCAACTAAAAGAGATGCCTCGGTACAGTACACATATTTATGTCTTGCTGGGCGAAGGAACACTTTCTCCTTCCCCCAAGCATTTTACAATTGAATCTAGCAGGATTAGGGAGCAAGAAAGTGTCGTCGATCGTCGATGCCGAATAATAATATGAAAGATTTTTTTTCTTCTACTGGTACTGGGTTCTTTAGTAGCAAGCTTTTATTTATTTGGAAATAGAAAACCAGACTGACTACCTTTTCAACCTTTATCAATCGCATGTCAGTTGGCAAGTCGCAAGGTGTTAAAAAGCCAGTTGAACCGCATAGCATGCAAGATCTACCGGTACTGTACGCAGTAGAGTTGGTTCAATCTTCGGCCTCGCTTGCTACATGCACAATAATGATTCCATCCTGGAGGATTAACCACAAGGTATGGGGGCCAGGAGTTGGCTGCCAGTGCAAGCAAGCATATCGAGCCCAGTTCCATTATGACCATGCTTCCGACCCGGAGCACCGTGGGAAAGAATCCTTGCTTGAAGAGGCAAGAAACAACGTTGCAGCAAGAAAAGCTGCAAGAAAGATGGAGGCAGGCGGAAGGCTACTGACTGCAGTTAGGTGCAATGATGCGCTCCGTCTGGACCTCCATGTTGCCTGTTTTGTCTCGAAGTGGTGCCCAGAAGGCCCTTGCTCCGGCTGGTCCTTGCTGTTCCAAATACGGGCTACGTTCAGTGTTGTAGCCAGTGTGTTCCAAAAGGTTCCATCACTCGGTCTCCGAAGTACCGGTGTGGATCTACTTGAATAATCTTATGTTTCCCTTCTTCTCAATCAGCAGTGTGCTATTGCGGATGGATGGATGGTATGAACACGTCACAAAGGCTGCTTGTTGCTGTTGTTTAACTCCCTGGCTAAGCAATACGTTACCAAGATCGAGGTGGCCTTTTGCCTCGGTTCTATCGCTATAGTCGGTTGCGGCTTTCGGGTTGTCTATCCGTCCCGAGCACCCATTCCGTAGCCCATATACAAGTCCTCTTTTAGTAAAATGTTTATATGCAAGTCAAGCTTCTTCTAAAAAGGAAGTCGTGATACATCAGCCACGCGAAGTCATCAACTGGCTGGGTCAGTCGGATCAGTTTGTAGCTGGCCACTCCATCTATCTAACTAACTAACTAACTAAGCCATCATTCGAACCGTCTTGAGCAAGGATTCGTCGCTCTTCATGTCTTCTTCTCCTTCCCATCCTTCGAACCAAGCGACACCATGTTTTCGTGTTCCATCAAAGACGTTACGTCCGTGCATGCACTTGTAGTTGTCAAGGAGAACGACGTCACCTTCCGTCATTTTGACGAATTGGACGTTCTTCATGGTGACTTCGTCCAATTGCTTCAACTGCTCTTCGGTCAGTTCGCCGTCATCGCCAAAGAACATGTCAGACTTGTTGATTTGAGATGCACCATCCTCGAAACGTTCGGCTCCGTACCTAGAAACGTGGCAAAGCAAGCAACAACAAAAAATCAGTGAGCAGGCACGTCCTTATTATGCAATCGATCTTCTATGTGGACTTGCTTCACGGCAGGTACTTACACGCTCTCTCGGTCCTTTCGCAACTTGGAGGAATGAGAGTGAACATTGCAGAACCAGGTTGGTTCTCCAGTGATTGGATGCAGCACAATAGGTGGCTGACTGGGTGCGCGTGCTTGCAACATTTTGACATTATCGTATCCGCCTTCGCCCCACAAGAGTTCTACAGAAAAGTCTACCTTGGCATTGATGGCAGCCGAGACCAATCCTCGCACAACTCCCATGATGGGGTTTTGGACGGGTTCCGGCAGATTGTCAATCCAACCAAAGAAGGGGAGCTCCATGACGGAGTATCGGATGGAGCGTTGGTACAGTTCCTGCACCAGTTGTGGGTCCAAGTCACGGAACATGCGTCGACCATCGGCAATCAGGAATTCTCCTCCGGTCTCGGCAGCCTTGAAGCATACAAAAGCAGCCGCACGAGGAGCACGGGTACCGACAAACTCGTTGTGCATTCCTGATTATTTCATTCCGTAAAAGAAAATGAGAAAAAGTCAGCATCGATCGATGTCATCGATAGTTTACAAGAAGTAAGTCCACTGGAGGACACAGCAGGGTACGTACCAATGAAAAAGTTTTTGCGAGATTCCTTGTTGACAGCTTCGTAGACGGGCGAGTTTTTGGTTCCGTCTACAGTCGGTCTGGCACTGACCGAGTGAAGAGGATCCAGACATGGCTTCATTCCGATGGCTCCGTACATTTGTTGAAATCCGTCTTGTTTCTTCATGAGTTCAAAATCCCGAAAGACGACAGCAGCATGCGCCTGCAGTTTTGTCTTGATTTCCATGGCATTATCTTCAAAGTACTTGAGCTGCGCAGCTTCATCACCGGCAATGCCCAATTCCTTGGCAGAAATCGTGGGAGCAAATTCGGGAAGACCGTCCGATCGGACCTTTTCTTGCAAACTGGTAATGTCCGAAATCTGGTCGCCCCAACTGGTCAATGGAGACAGAGGAGGTTCCGCCGTGGGAGTTTCGGCGACGGAAGCTGCCGAGAGCACCAACGATGGTCTGCTACTAGTGGTGGTGTGGCTGGGTGCAAAAGCCGATACGCCGACGACCAAGGCGGCAAAAGGAACCAAAAATCGAACCATCTTGAAACACTGCTTTGCTTATCGATAGTTGACTAAGAATAAGAAATGGATGCGAGCAAGATACTTTTTGCCACAAAATCAAAACGGGAATGCTTCTCTTTTGTTGCCGTCGCTGTTCTCAAGGAGCCGACGAAGGAGACAACTGCTGTCAAACACCGCCAACCCAATGAGTGGACGCCATGTTGCATCCAGAGGTTCAACTTCCATCAGATCTTTGTCAATCGTGTCGAGGAAAAACTGACGTGTCTTGAAAAGCGAGAAAGATTGGGGACGCTTCAACATCCGGGTGTCTTTTCGGTCTCCCCTTCCTTCTTCCTTCCACGGTTTGGAACACGAATGATGGCCTCCGCACTAATGCGCTGGCTGGTGATTTCAGATGCCTGAGCCACACCAAGCAGGGTGTAAACCACAATGTAGCTAGCTAGCTAGTGGCTCTCTCGCCTAGTTGCAATTGGAGCAGAGGGGGGCCATCAGCCGGTCTTACACAGGACCAAAATACAGGATCCATGACAGGGCCTTAACCTGGCCAAAAATCTAGACCTAATAAGGGTGCGCACCTTGGCGGCAGAAAAATCCGCACCTCTTGGGTCCAAAACTCGGCACCTCTCTAGTGTCCGCACCTCTGCTGCAAAACCTCTTACACGCTGCACCTTAGGGTCCGCACCTCGGGGGCGGCAAAAGGCTGCACCTCTAGTGTCCGCACCTCCTCGGCGTCAAAAACTCCACACCTCTACGGCACAACCGCTGTACCGGTAGGTACCGGCACCGGTAGACCTCCACACATGCCCCAACACCGGGACAAACACCTGGCCAACCCAAGCCCAACTCCATGCTTTGCCAGCATTTTTAACATGCACCAAGTCAAGCACTCGGACCAAGCAAGTCGCTCCAGGACATGAGGACAAACTCGTGGATCAGAATGTTGCATCGTCCTTATCGAGAGCTTCGTCACCTGAAATGTTATCTAGCTAGTACCACACAACAACATCCAAGCCAACGACCAAGCAACTCCCGCCCCCTTCCCAACCACTGGACTTATGTCCTGCCAAAAGCCTGGACTTGCACCAAATGCCCACCACAAGTCCATCATAGCCCAACCCAGATCCAGGCCCAGGTACCCAAATGATGCAAAAGGAAGTGGAAGGCAGTGTCGGCCAGTGGAGGGCGGGGTAATCGGACTTCGTCCAGTGCAAGCTGTGGAAGCTGCAAGGTCGCCTGTGTAGCAAGTCCACAAAAGCATGATGACACGTTTCCTTGCCGCATCACAAGTTACAGCTGACTCTGAGTTATTGGGTTACAGTATACTGTAGTACATAGCTGTGGGGTATAGCCTTCACATAACATGGAGAGTTTGCGAAAGAAATCATTCAATCATTCCTTTTCTTCCTGCAAGTTGGCATTACCCTTGTCAAATAGTAATAGTGAAGCACTGTACATAAAATAATGTCTGGACATCCAATTCTTGGTACCATGAAGATCTTTGCCCAACCACAGCCCCAAGCATCGCCGCACCCGCTCCCAATGTTGGCTGCATGCTGTTGTATCGGTCTGACTGTGCCTCGATCCTGCCTACCAGCAATGCATGGGATTTTTAAAGGTCAAAGTACCTCGGTTCTTCCTCCGGCAAACGGACGGTATAGATGCTATCGAGAGACTCCTGTGTGGTATTGCTCCTGGTCCGTGTCGTACTGTTCGTGTGATGATGGTTATTGTGACTGCGACTCCTACTGTTGGCCATGTCAATGCTCTGCTGTAGTTCTGCCAGAGTAACGGGTCGAAAGACATAACTACTGCGGCATGGACGTTTCTGATGGCCTTGACGTCGTGGTTGGGTGTGTCGTTTGACCAAGTGTCCAGTCCTGCGATCGGTAACATACGTAGTTGGGACTACCAGTTTCTTGGTCGTACTACCATCTGGATAGGCAAACATTGCGGAAGGTGCCTCGTAATGCCTGCTGCTGCCATCGCTACTGCTGCTGCCGCTGCCACTGTGAAGGATAGCCGGCGGTGGAGTTGCTTGAGAGGACGACGAAGACGACGACGATGAAACCTGTGGCCAAAGATGTCCAGTGACGTGCGTGGTGGCTGTACTAGTTGCCCCTTTCCTTCCTCCTTGATGTTGATACTGCCGATCACGTTGGTTGTAATAGCCATGATGTGCTGGACGGTGTGCCAATTGTTCTTCTTGTGTCTCCACATAATCAGCAGGTGCTCCTCCTATGGTAGTCCCAATGCAAAGACAGGAGAATGCTTCCATCAAGCGAGAAGGGACCATTCCGGCCGTGGAAACGCTTGCCGCGCCAGTGCGTCGTCTTCGTTGAGATACCTGGCAAGTGGGTGGAAAGATGGGTCCTTCTACCACAGAAGAAGAATCTCCCAGTGGATCCGCGTCGTCATCATGATAGCGGCTGTCGTTGCATTCTTCTTCAAAGGAAGAATCGACTTCCTGGCGGCTCCCACAAGCAGAATACGCGTCATGTTGCCGTCTTTGATTATGATGGTGAGAACGACGGGTGGATGCGGAAGAAGCCGATTGACGCCTCTGCTGTTGCGCTTCGTCTCGTCGACGCGAACTTGATGAAGGGCCTGCTGTAGACGATGACGATACCATGTTGCTCTTCTTGCCTTCAATCTCCTCGACTATAACTCAGATTCAAAAAGGAGGATGCTTTTGTTGTTTGTCCAGCAGCTGTACTACCAGCTAGTAGCAGGCACATACAACCGCTCCGGATCGAAACTATCGAAAGCCGATCCCACAACCAAAAGTGAGAATTTTGTCGGATGGTCCCAAGATTCAATCGACGTTGTGAAACGGTAATTTGCAAACGGCTTGGAAATCCCGTTGGCACTGCATCGGCACTCCCACGGCCTGTTTAGGAGTTATGCCAACAGTCCCCTGGCTCGGCGAAAAAGACGCACTATGGGGAAGAAAGAAAGCGAACAGAACTCAGAACGTGTCCCAAACGTAAACCAGCAAGTCTATCAGAAAACTGGCTAGCCAGCTATTCCGTGGCATTGCAACAACTAGCTAGTGTACCAGTATGCATGCGGCTCCGGTGTCTTGGAAAACCACCTATCGTTCTACCAACATCTACCAACTCTAAACATGTTAGAACAAGAAGCAGTTGCTTGTGTTCCATTGCTAGAGAATATTTCAACTCAATTTTAATCCTCAAAAGTGAGCACGGAAGCAGTACGACTGTACTCTATCTTCGAACATGGGATGTTTGTCACTCCTCCAAATAAGAAAATCTAAAAAACGAAATCGAATTTCTCAGTTTCATTCATTCCTTCGTCACCACAATTCGGGTTTGCTCATTGCTTCCACACAAGAAGAAGTTCCTTGGATGGCTTTAATTTCGTCTTCTTGGCCCGTCAAGGACAAGGCTTGCCAGCCTTGGGGTTGAGACAATTTAAAGGGTGCTGGAATGGTTTCGCAGTTGACCGGGATGAAATTAGCCACTTTGGAATAATACTTTGGGTCGCCATATACCATTGCCAGATCAAGCTTCCCCTTGTTGCTGGTATCTTCTTGGAGATTTTTCAAGCCAAACTGAATCAATCCCTTGCCAATGCCTTGTTTTTGATGCGCTGGAAGAACTCCCACTGGACCTAACAGCATCGCCCCAGTCTCGGGCTGGCTGGAAAACGTCATCCTGGAGAATATGATACAACCTGCCAATGCACCGCCCGTGCTGTTGCCGCTGTCGTCTTCGTGTAGCTTTGTGACGAACACATGGAGATCGTTTTCCGGAGTTTGTTGGATCATGTTCTCAGCCAGCGTTCCGATAAGCTGGCCTTCGTTGGGACCTTCCGAAGCACCAAATGTTTCTTTAAACAATTCTCGGATTGCCGCAACATCCCCCTTGGGGTCGCTAAGAAGGCTATGAACTTGCTTCATTATTGTCAAACGGGAGAGTATTATGTTGTTAAAGGGGACGAGAATGGATGTCAGAGGACGCGGTACGGTACCGGTTCCCGTAAAAAGATCTTTCGTTTACGTTCTGGTTCACTAGTGGCTCATGAGTGACGTGTTGATCCTCAACCAAAAGTGCCTTGCACAGCGCTGAGCAAGTCCGTCTGAAACCAAGAGTTGTCCACCAAAGGGTGGCAGTTCAAGTCCATTTACCGTAAATGGACCTAGCTAGCTAGAGTCAAGCAGAAGTGAGATAGTAAGATGAAGTTACCCCCCGTCTCTTCCAGTTACAGTAGGGCACTTGGACTGATCCTTGGTTGCTGCTTGTGGACCGAGGTTGTCGGTTTTTCCGTCCTTCCTTCCCGCCCAATATTTCTTCGCTCCTCTGCTTTGGCTGTCAAGGTAACTTCCGATGACTTGCCAGAAGATGAAGTGGACGTGGTTGTCATTGGGTCTGGCTTGGCAGGACTATCGTGTGCCGCATTGCTCTCCTACTGTGACAAACGAACCGTGGTCCTGGAATCCCACGATGCTCCCGGTGGCGCAGCACACACATGGGAACGACGAGGCTTTCACTTTGAATCCGGTCCATCTCTATACTCGGGCTTGAGCATGGACGAGTCACCCAATCCACTCAAGAACATTTTCCAAATTGTCGGTGAAGATTGCGACTGGATCACATACGACCGCTGGGGTACCGTGTTGCCCACGGGAGAAAAGTTTGCTGCCAAAATTGGACCCGAAGAATTTGGAGATGTGCTGGAAAAGTATGGAGGGGAGGGTGCCCAGGAAGAGTTTGCTGCCATCATGGAGAGAATGGCACCATTGTCCAATGCGGCACAAGCACTGACATCCATGGCGTTGCGAGAAGACGCCGGGGCCATATTGACACTCTTGAAATATCCAATGGAACTCTTTGAGACACTCAAGCAGGGACAAGCACTCAACGAACCATTCAGTGTCATCGTAGAAGAAATGCAACTCGAAAACAAGTTTGTCAAGAATTGGTAAGTCATCAACAACACAGCCACATGAATTTGGTTCAATTTGCCGTTTCTCAAGTAAATAAACTGTTGCCTCCAAAATCCAATCTAGGTTGTCGATGCTTTGTTTCCTGTTGCAGGGGCTACCGGCTGAGGGGACGATGAATGCGGTTATAGCATACATGCTCGCTGATTGGTACCGCCCTGGTGTCACTCTGGACTTTCCAAAGGGAGGTAGTGGGGCCATTGTGGAGACTCTGGTAAGAGCCATTCGAAAGTATCAGGGACAAGTTTGCTTGAATGCGCACGTTGACGAAATCTTGGTGGAAGACGGCAAAGCATGCGGAGTCAAACTCAACAATGGCAAAGTAGTACGAGCCAAGCATGCAGTGGTTTCAAATGCTGATCCATACGTCACGCAAAAACTCTTATCAAAAGCTGACATATCCAATGACATGAAAGAGTACATGGCCAAGCTCACAGAAACCGATCCAACACAAGACGGTATCCCGGATTTGAAGAGTTTTATCCACATTCATGCCGGCATTGATGCGGCGGGGCTTCCAGAGAAGCCGAGCGCGGACTTCCCGGCACAGTGGGCCGTCATCAAAGACTGGGATTTACCGGAAGGAGTGGAAGCACCCCGCAATATTGTTCTATGTAGTATGCCCTCCTTGATCGATCCCACGTTGGCGCCCGCAGGAAAACATGTGTTGCATGCCTACGTTCCTGCCACGGAACCGTACGAATGGTGGGCTGGAATGGATCGCAACTCGGACGAGTACAAACAAAAGAAGGATGAAGCGGCTGACTTCCTTTGGTCTGCCATTGAGCAATATGTCCCCAATGCCAGAGATCGAGCTGTTCCCGGAACGGTACAAATCGGGACACCTCTCACCCACGAACGATTTCTTCGAAGAACGAGGGGAGCTTATGGGTGAGTTGAGATTTTTGCTCTGTCGTGCCCCCATGGATGTGTGCAATCAACGTGCCGTATATCCAGCCACTCACCCGCAACATCTTTATGTCCACATAGTCCAAGGGTGGAGGCGGGGAAACAAACTCTACCAGGGCACACCACTCCCCTGAAAGGGCTTCTTTTGACTGGTGACTTTACTTTCCCTGGTATTGGAGTTCCTGCTACTGCGGCATCTGGTGCCATCACAGCGAATACATTAGTGTCAGTTCCACAACACTTCAAGATGCTCGACCAAATTCGGTTGCCCCAAAAGTAGGCTCGCAGCCACGCTATTCACATCCTCCATGTGGTTCCATTGCTGTAGATAACTTTTGATTTGATGACAAACAGTACATACATGCATCCCCTCGCCTTACATGTACCTTTCCCTGTGCCATCTACCTAGATGGCTACGGCTAGTTAGAAGTAAAAAGTCACCGAGTTGGCATCATGCTGGTCGTCCCTTCTTCATGCCTACCGTACCTTTAGGGATAAGACAATGTTAGGTTCATGGTACCTGGTATGTAGATGGGCCATCCCAGGGTGAGTCCAGCCAGGCGACGAGGGACCAGGCGTGGGGCCTGGAGATGGACTTGGGGTAGGTATAGGAGCGGTAAGCCCTGGATAAGGTCCCTGCGATGGTCAGACTTACGTTCTGGACCGGGTCTGGTGTCTCGCTGGTGTGGGGTGCGGGGTCTGGAGATAAATCCCCTTTCCGTCTGGGCGTTGGTCAAGGCGTTGTGGGCAACGAGGATGAAGATGTTGGACCCGGAGGGGTGCCTGGCGTGGTTGGGCATAGAGAGGGAGACAAAGGGGGGACCCAGGGATGGACCAGCTTTACTAAGCTCTGGTGTGTGACCTCCTCGACAGCAGTACAGTATGCGGTGGAGTTGGACAGCAACAGTTTCAACACTCAAAACGAGAAAATCGAATCGAATCGAATCGAATCAGAATCGAATCGAATCTTCTGGTAAAGTGCCACCCGTACCAGATAGTACTGTACACGTCGGGTGGAAGAACGAAACAGGCGGCACCATACCGGTACCATGCGAAAGATGCGGTACTGTGGAATTTTCAGTACAGCAAAAGAAAAGTCCTATGAGAAAGGAATCTGTCCCACTTTTTGAGAAGATTCATCGTTTCAGTCGAGCACCGTGCTGCAGGATGACGAGGCTCCTGGTATCCGAAAGAAGCAAGAATTCAGTCGTCGTCTTCTTATAGTTTCAAGCTTGTTGGCGACAAATTCGTCCCATTTTACTTTGAAGCCAAGAATGATTCCTGACAATGACACAATGACCTGTGGATTCGTTATGAATGCATCCAGCAGCCATGACTCTTCAGCACTACGAGACAGCGGCCATTGCTACCCCTTCATCTGCCGTAGCCGTAGTCAAAACCGGCTGCTAGCAGAAGCCACCAGGTTCTATGAGGCCGTGGAAGAAACTGAGCCTGTGGAAGAACCACGACGCGTCAAGGAGATTGTAGAGGAAGGGGACAGTTCCTCTGAAGAAGAGGACAAAGGCGCTCCCGCAGCGGAAACAAAGGCAGCAAGTCAGAGACGAACCTCTCGAGTCATTCAACTTGAGACTTGTCTCACGAACCTAGAGACTTGCTTCTCGGAATCTGCCCAAACAACACCCAAGTCAAGCCAACAACAACCCTTCTCACATCTGCTACCTCTGTCCATTGAAGCACGCATTCAAGGCGACATTGCCTATCGAGGGATCTCTGCCAATCCTCCCGAGATTATTCGAAGTGGAGTCAACCGTGGAAATGTCGCCCAGATTCACCGAAAAGCTTGGTTGGAAGTAAGTGATTCGAAACACCGTTATGGCAAGAATCTTCGACTGTACTACCGACATTGGGAATCTTTGGGGTACCCCACCAACCATTTCTTTGACTGGCTCGATTCCAATGGTGCTGCTGCTGGAAAACCTTTGCCCGATCTTCCAGAATGCCCCAGATCCGTTCTTGACTCGGATACTGTCCTCTACATTAGGGATCCCGAGGTTACGAGTCAATATGCATTGGAGCTCGAACGTGACGAGACTGGAAAGTGCCGTGTCTCGCGACAGAGACAGCCGGTCACTACTGGACCCAATGGCTGGATTTTTGTGCTCCGAGACAGCGTCATTTATGGAGCCGAGAAGGTTAAGTCGGCTGCCACAGGACAGCGCTTTCACCATTCATCCTTCTTTGGGGGCAAAGCCGTGGCCGCGGCAGGGATCTTCATCACTGATGCACAAGGCTACCTCGAGATGCTCTATCCTCATTCCGGTCACTACCGCCCAGGGGAAGCGGACATGCAACGAGTCTTGTACTTTCTGCATCAGCAGGGCATTGACTTGAATTCATTTCAAGTCGACATACAGCAGTTGATCCGTGTTTGTCGACAGGAAGCCAAGGGCAGCAAGAAGGCAGGAGGAGCGGATGACCGCAAGAAACGAAAGAAAGACCGAGTCTCTGCATTTGAAGCCAGCAGTGGACGTGGCTCACTACTTGTCTCATAAGGCCAGGTTCATCAGGGGAGGCGTGCGGTCCCAAATTGAGAATAAACGCTACATCTCTTGCCACTGACTACTAGTGAAGGCGACGTATTCAAGGGCTGTGCCGACCAGCCAGTGTTGCAGAAATTGAAACAAGTCGAGTCTACTGCTGTCAATATATATAAACCTACAGGTTTGCAAGAATCCCACCTTCATGCTTCTGAGTTGTCATTCAGGTCTTTTAGCAACGGTCAGCAGAGAGCGTCTCTGAAACTCTAGCTATTATGGGTTGAAGCTAGATAGTTTGTAACGAAATGGTATATATCTAGAGTTCCTCTTGAAATGGATCTCCTACTTCGTCCCACAAGGTCTCGACCGTGTAAGCGCTTCCTGATAGTGCCCAAAAAGCGCCATCTACATAACGACGATGTATATCCATGGCGTTCAGTTTCTCCATGGCGGCATCGTCCAATTGGACAGTTTCTGGAACCTCCAAGTTTTGCTTTAGACGATCAGGATTGGCCGACTTTGGGATGACCGCAGAACCCTGTTGGATACCCCATTTCAACAAGACACCGGCAGGAGTAGCACCCACGGCAGCTGCCACTTCCTTTACCATGGCATCTTCCAACAAGACGGGTTCTCCTTTGGGTTTGAATGCTGCGGGGCGATCACCCGATCCCATACTGGAATAGTTGGTAACAAGAATTCCATTCATTCTGCAGAACTGCACCAAGTGTTTTTGTTGCAGATAGGGGTGACATTCCACCTGATTGACTTCCGGTTTGATGCGGTGATTTGCGAGAATTCTTCCAAGTTTATGGGTGCTAAAATTGGAAACGCCAATGTGATGGGCCAAACCCATATCGACTGTTGATGCCATGGCTTTCCAAGTCCTTTCGGCATCAAAAAGAATCATGTCATGCTTATCCTGGGGAAATGAAACTCCATTCTTCAATGTGACAGGCCAATGAATAAGGTATAAATCCACATAATCGAGTTGCAAATCAGCCAGAGTTTTTTTTTCAGGGCTGTGGACACTTGTTCATGGCTGTCATTCCACACCTTGGATGTGATCCACATGTCCTCTCGTTTGACAATTCCCTCACTGAAACTTTCCACAAGGGCTTCACCTACTCCCTTTTCATTGCCGTAAATGGCAGCACAGTCAATGTGCCTGTAACCCGGCTTGATGGCTTCCTTGACAGGCTGTCTTGACTTCGTCGGGCTCTCCCGGGATTATTCCCCCCAAGGGTCCTAAAGGCCAAAAAACCAAAATGAAATAGGGGTCCCAGGAAGAAGGCCCGGAATGGAAGCTCAAGAATTAGTTTTATGTAAGGATGGGATTGTAACGATGATTCGACCAGATTGGGCAAAAATCTTCATCATTCAGCTGCCAGAGCGGAAGCAACAACTCACTCCAAGCCCGAGTAGTGGCATGTTATCCCAGTTGGAAAACTTATGCGTCGGCATTTCTCCCGCCACAAGACCAAGCCAGGCCAAAACCAGAACAAGAATCTCACTTCTCAACATTGCTGCTTTTGATTTGTGCTTCTACAAATGATCAATGGTAAACCTGAAGTTGACCGTGACTTTCTCAATGGTAACTACGAAATTCCACAATACGACTGTAGCTAGCTAGTACCATTAGCTAGCTACAGTACCGAAAATCCAAAAGCTAGCATGGTCCCTCAGTCCGTGACCCGTTTTTGCATCCAGTCACTACCAGCATCGGCTCTCGGTTCAGAGGGACCTTAATTAATATCTTTGAAACTGAGGCATTTAACCGGGGCTAAAAACGATGAAGCATTAATAGCTTTAGCCCAGGAGATTTAATGACATTTGTTATTTTCTTCACTCCCTCCCTCCAATGGCTATGACCATCGTCGCAGCTCGAACGCACCGTGCCAGTTTCATGCGGCTCTAGCTAGATAAGGTGGTGTTAGAGTGAGGCTCTCGTCATCATCCTGGAGCTCTTCACCACCCAAGACGCTGTGGCTATCTCTCGCAGATTGTTGGTAGCTCCACACCGTCCTCCTGGGCAATTCCAAGAGATTAGCTGCACTGGAAGGGTGCAGTGAGCGAGCGATAAGAGGACCAAAATCTCGGACGGTGACCGTGAGCCCTTGGTACCGCACGCACGACCCTGCTTCCAAGCGCCACTGCTATTGAACTCCGCCTGGTGTTATCGCTCGCTTTTTCTGCGTGCCATCCACCAGAAGTACGACTCAACTCTCTCGTATTGCCGAATTGAAGTACATGTCATGACGTCCACTGGGGGTGAGAATGATGTGTCCAGGCATTCCATCAGCATTTTGGATCTTGGCAACGGAAGCAAGGCAGATGATGCTTCCACTGACGGGGAAGACTCGTTCCACGATGAAGATGGAGAGCCCAGGAAAAGTGCCGCTGATGTACTAGAGGGTAGTCTTCAGTCATTATCTATTCAGAATGGTGGCACTGGAGCTGGTGATCCCTCGCTCTCGCCTCCTCCCAGTATTGACAAGTCGAAACGGAAATTAGGAAAAGATTTTCTCAAGGTGCTGGAAAAACAAAGTGCAAAGGATGGTATGGGCAGTAAGGTGTCCCAGCTGTCACTTCTTGTTAATGATAGTGCCAGTGGCATTCCATTTGACGATGTCTACGAAATGGGAGAAGTTCTCGGAGAGGGTGGATTTGCGTTTGTCTACCGATGCACCCACAAAAAGAATGGACATGAATATGCTGTCAAGGAAATACTGACCACCGATAATTATCAGTCAGCGGGGGAATCCGTCCGTGGGGAAATCAATGCTTTGAAACTCCTGCGAGAGGGACCCTACGTCGTTCGCCTCTTGGATGTCTACTATGAACCTGATCGGACAATGATGGTACAAGAAATTATGAAGGGTGGTGATTTGCTCGACAAATTGACGGAAATTGAAGTCTATGAACCCAGGGATGCACGGAAAGTCTCGAGGACTCTTGTGGAAGCACTGGATTACTGCCACAAGAAGAGGATATGCCACAGAGAGTAAGTTGATCGACAGGGAAGCAACGTTTCGCTTTTCAATCATATTATTTTTTCCTGGCTGACCATGGCGATGGGTATGCTATCGTTTTGTGCTGTTTGTTTCTCCTGGCGAATCGAATCAATTGATCTTATCCTGGCAGCATAAAACCCGAGAACATCCGTACGTATGCAGCCAACCAACAGACGCGATTCCAACACCACCAGAGTTGGATTCCTGTCACGTCTCTTGCTGTTGTATCGTCTAGTGCTCCTGCTCACCTCGTTCGATTTTGTTGCTCAACTACCCATGATGATTGATTTGTCGTTCCTGCCATTGGAACACCACACCACAATCCACATTCTTGCCATGCAGTGCTCGTTAAAGATGATGATTTGACACACATTAAGGTGGCTGATTTTGGATGTGCGAAGAAGATTACAGGACCCAAGTGTCTTAAAACACTCTGTGGATCACCTCAATATGTGGCACCAGAATTGTTGACACATGAAGATGGGTACAATGAGCTGTGCGACATGTGGAGTTGTGGGGTTGTTATATATGTCCTCTTGGGAGGATATGCCCCCTTTGATGCTCCGGAATGCGAGCTGGCCGAGTTGATCACTGCAGGCAATTACGAATTTCATGAGGAATATTGGGAAGATATTCCTGCAGCAGCCAAGGATTTGGTCATGCATCTGTTGCAGGTAGACCCCGATGATCGTTACAGTCCCAGTGAAGCCTTGGATTGTCGATGGTTGAGAAGAAAAGATAAGGATCTGGCATCTAGTAGCATGCATGAGTCCAACAGCAGTTTTGGGGCATGGTTGGAACGAAGAAACTCCCGTCGTTCGCTCAATGACCCATGATGAAACGACCACCGCAACATGAGGCAACGGCGCAAGAAAATGAAGGCCGGCATCGCGTACTCGTAAAGCATGACAAACAAGGTTTTCCGTCTCTCTCAGTAACAGATCATGGCCAGCAAGTTGGAAGTTCGCACTAGCTAGAATTTTTTTAAGGAGAGGAAGGTAGCGTGAGTTCGCAAGACTTTGTACCAGATACCTGGTACGACTGTAGTTTCCAGACGCTTTTCCGCGGTGTGGCGGGCTACCGGAATGCATAGCTCTACTAGCCAGCTAGCTAGCTATTATTTGTACTTTCTGGAAAAGTCAGCTATCTGTACAGGTAGGCTGGTGAGTGTTTTCTTAAAACTCGTGCATACGGAATGTCTACGCTGCGAGCTACGGCCGGGTTCCCCAACCCGTACATAGTACATGACATTGTATGTACAAGTACATGCACATACATGTTCCTGGAACATGAACTCGGAATACTGAACATTCGTGGTGAGGGTTCAAAAAGATGCCAGCGAGGAAGCTCGGTAGCTCGGTCATCGATTCATGCCTTCAAAAGCCGGCGTTAACGTTCGGTGAACTTCCAAGATCAAGTGTTCGAAGACTGGCAAGTACCGGTACCAGTACGGTACGCAAGGTACCGTACTATTAGCTAGTATTAATAGTAGTAGCACCGTACTGTACGGTAGCCGAAAGATACTATGATATCTACATGTACGTACGGTACAAGTGATCCTACTAAGTTCCTTTGTACAGTACATGTTCTCGTACGCCGGGATCCTGGTTCTTTTGAATGACTGATGACTTTCTTACCCTCTCAAACACGTCACTCGTCAGGCATTCGATTGAATCGAATCGAATGCTCAATCAATCTGAAGTGCTCGTCTTTCCTCATCTTGCTATTCGAAACCCACAAATGCTCTCATACCTGGCAACGTACAATCCTCTCCCAGCAGCCATCGTCTGTTGTTGAGGTACTGTACGGCTGTAACAGAAACTTCTAGCCTACCTGCTTCTAGCTAGCTGGCTCGAGCTACGGGCAGCAGACAAAGCTTCAGTATTCAAGGCAAGGCCGCTCCCACCACCACGAACAGAGATGAACCGCCGCAGTGACATGTCCATGGGCGGGGACGTTGGTAGTGCCGATCAAGCGTCCTCTGATGTGCTACCGATGCATGAAATTTATAATGGTGAACGTTCCAATGCAGGAAGCCCCGACAGTGAGAATGATTTGGAGGAGCAAGGACAAGCATTGGAAGTGGAGCAAGAAGAAGGAGAAGAAGAAGACGCATCAAACCACGATGGGAATGACGAGGACAAAGAGAATAGAGGCCAATACGATGACGAAGAAGCAAATGCCCCTGACGGTGGCGTCAGTGTGTGTTCCGGTAGCGAAATCGAGGAAGACGATTCCGTTGATTCAGCAGACTTTCGAGAAGAAGCAGTCCGCAAGGGTTTCTTGGACTTTCTCTTGAACTACATTGGCTGCGGTATCTATGCGAAAGTCTTGGATTGGCTAACCACAAAGATCATCAAGATCCGTGGGGATTCCGACGATGCCGAGGCGGAATTACAAGATCTCGCGGGTGATGCGATTCAGGAAGCCACCGATCCGTCCCAGCTGCTTCCGAACCAATCGTCTGCTTTGAACTCTGGTGGTAGCGGCGGCGGCGGAGGAGGAGGAGCCGCTGGGAATAGTGCCATGATGGGACAAATGGCAACAAGTGCCGCTCAAGGAGCAGCTGGTGCTACCGCCACAGCCAGCGCTAGTGTCGCTGGAGGCGTCTCATCAGCAGTAGCTGGTTTGGCCGGGCTTGTGGCCAGCACTGGGGTAGCATCTCAGGTAGGGGTAGCCGTGGGGGTTGCAGCTGTTACAGCAGCCGCAGTCTCGGCGGGTGTCGGTATTGTGACAAGTCAATCAAATGTACTCCCGGCCGCCTCCCCTCGCCCCATGTACAACTACAGTGGCTTTGTCCCCCCCGAGTGTAACGGAGAAGGTGCGAGTACGCTGAAGATTGGTCAGATTGAGCTTCAAATCCAAGGGTTCCCCCCTGATGCCTTGCCCGAACGTAGAGAGGACCTGGAGATCTTGTTTCGAGATCTTTACAATGAAATCACAGTTGAGTTCCGTTTGTGTCTGCGGAATTGCTTGTCGTGATGTGCGTTGCTGTTCGATTCAAGATCTTACCAATATTGCTTTTACGAATCTTGTCCGTGGTGGTAGGGAATGTGCCTAGATCCAATGCAGCGGATACTGCACCTTGCACAGCTGGAAAATTGGGAAACAATATACTCCGCTGGGCGGAACGAAACTGTTGCCAATGACACCACAAGTGATGAAGATGTTGCAACCAGCGTTACAACAACCTACTGGACAGCCACGGTAGAGTGCAACGGTTGTCCCGATCGCTAGCCTTTGTTTGATTCAATCGCGAAACGGCGACTGCGGCAACGCAACCTATTATCCCTGGACTTGTCGGAATTCTTCGCTCTATTTGCTGCGTCATTTGGCTACAACCTGGAGCCTTTTCTGTTCGACCAACAGAACATCACCACCAATTTTTCTGATCTTTCCTCCTTCAACTCTGGGCGCGACATTAGAGTCGTTTTTGCTACTACTAATTCTGTGGCTGATGATGAAGCTGGCGAAACCATCGTTGTCAGCGCAGTAGGCAACGAGACTCTCCAGGATATGGTCCAGATTATAGAGGAAAACAATGGGAGAGTGCAGGCTCCCTTCGTACGGGACGAGTTGAGCTCTCTTGTGGGTTGTGCCGCAGAAGATTCTTCATTGAGTCTTGAGTGTCAAGTCATATCGGAAAGTGGTATAGACGCTGAGACGCTGGCGGAATGTGTGCAGAATCCTGTAGACATCCTTTGTCAGCAGATTCTACCACAGGCAATTGAACTCGTGGAAACAGCCTTGTCGGAACCAGACGAGGACGCACGCAGCGGCAACAACATTGTTGATTCCAACGATGGCAGCATTGATAGCGGCAACGCTGATGACCATCCAAACCCAAACCCAACCTCAACCATTGAGATCCTTGAAACTGGCATTGACTCTGAGGACATCACGACTGTCACTCCCCCTTCATTGCCAGCCATCGAAAGTCCTAACCCAGGTCGTATAATTTCTCAACCTGCTGTAGCACCCAGCAGTCCAGGTGATAGCCCAAGCTTAGGCAACCCTATGGGTGCTCCAGGAACCCCATCTGGAATTGATTTGAGCAGGCCGGAAACAGCAGGGCCAACTATATCAACAGGGGGCTCGGATGGCAGCCCTGCTGCTTCTGTAAAAGGAATGACACAAGCAAGCCCTAATGGGGCACCGACCACAGCCAACCAAGGCACAGTTCCAGGCAACCCATCTGTGGTTCCAGACAGCCCTCCTGTTGTTCCAGTGTACCAACCAAGCGCTACCAGGCCGATGACAGACATTTTAACAGCTGCCCCGGGGAGTCCAGCTGCTACCCCAACAAAGAAATTGGACACACTTGGACAAAACGTGGCTTTGCCTGTGGTATTCCCCGACACAGTGCCCCCTCCAGCCACTCCATCTCAAGATCCAATCGGCTCCGCCTTGGCACCATCAGCTTCTCTTGCTCACATACCCAGTACATCCCACTCACCCAACTCTTCAGGCATGCCATTTGAGAATCCTATATGGGACAAGCCGCCAACGTCTGGAGCAGGTATTCCAAACACTGAACCTACTCTTTTCCAACAATCTGCCATGCAAGGAAGCCCCAGTACCAACCTGATTGTGAACAGCCCAACTTCAGATTATCCAATTTTGTCTGCCTATATTTCACCTTCAAGCCTTGCTGGATTGAACAATTTTGCTGCAAGTGTTGCTGCAGAGGAGGAAGTAAATCAACCAGGCCCACCCTCCATGTCCATTCCTGGTGGTAATGGAGATGCTACAAAATCAAGCAGTCCTGAGGCAACCAATGGTCAGATCGACCCGAAAAGTCCAACAACAAGCCTTAGACCCCCCACTACCCCTGCACCAAAAGCTGTTTCCTTTTCCCCAAATTCGATGGCTGGACTCTATTCATTTGCAGCCAGCGCAGATGCTATTGTTCAATCCCCGTCACTCACAAAGTTTTCGCCAATGCAACTTCCCACAGTGGATTCAACTTTGGCTGCAACTACACCTGTAGCAATACAACAGTCCATGGCAAATCCCACACCAGCATCAACCGAACCAATGTTGCCTCAATCCCAAGACCCTGCTGGTGATCTCGCGTCACAGCCTACCAATGTTCCCACAGCAGAGCCTACAAATGATCCCACAAGAGAGCCTACCAATGATCCCACAGCAGAGCCAACCAATGATCCCACTGCTGAGCCAACCAACGATCCCACTGCTGAGCCTACCAACGATCCCACCATGCAACCATTTAGCAACCCCACCCCACAACCTAGTTATGTGCAGCCCGACCGAGAACCAACAAGTCAGCCGACTGTGGCACTAAAGGAAGGCACAGTAGAGCCCACTAAAGCAACAATTCATGTTCCTGTTCCAAGCAAGTCACCTACAGTTCAGCCAATCACTGAAAGACCCAGCGGCAGCCCATCAGGTGTATTCAGCTTGACAGCCTCACCAACAATGCATCCAACAGAAAAAACAACGTTGGGTCCATCAGAAACCGCCTCGTTGCCACGAACATCGACTCCATCCGTGAAAACAACGACGATGCCACCAGCTGATCCCACCATAAGTCCTTCACCTGTAACTGCCACAGACCCTGCCCTTGTCCCATCATTGGCTCCATCATCCACATGCGGAAACTATCAATACACTGTGCAGAGGTATTTCTACATAGCATTCTCAGGAAGCACTTCTGCTTTATCTGATGCCCAACTACAAGATTCTTTTGAATCATCGTATAACTCAATGGAAAAGGGAACATGTCCGGCTCTGCTATTATTTGCTGTGCCAACACGACGAATATCAGGTAGACGACTACAGTTGGCAGGTTCCACAGTTGAATTTCAAGTTCAATCCAGTCAAACAACTCTGGTTTCAATTCTACAGACTGAAAATGCAAGGTCTTCCTTCTTGTCAAACTTCAATCCTCTCATTGCTGGCAGTGGAGTCTCTGCAACAGCTGTAAGCGACTCACTTGTTACCATTTCTCCTACTCATACCCCGACTAGCTTGCCATCATCAACAACCTCACCTTCTCTGGAGACAGCGTTTCCAACGACTTCAATCCCAAATTCAACCCCCACAATGTCAGTCCCATCATCCTTGCCCACTTCTTTGGCAACCCCCAATCCCAGTCTTGGACCCACGATTTCTTTAAGTAATTTTCCAACAAAGGCACCCTTGCCTTCCCCGACAAACCTCCCTTCAATGCTTCCTACAACTCTTTCTTCTGTGCAGCCTTCAAAAGTGCCCCCAGTGTCACCATCAGTGCAGCCCTCTTCAGTGGCTGGTTCTAGAGCACCTTCGACGGCCCCATCCTTGCCATTGTCTGCACCATCCATATCAACCAGCCCATCAAGTCTTCTATCAAAACAACCTGCCACATCTAGCTCTGCAGCACCTTCCAATTCACCTTCTTTTGCACCATCAAACTCTGAGGTGCCATCATCAAGTCCATCCAACTTGCCCTCCATGGACCCAACTTGCCCTCCATGGACCCTTCTTGGTTGCCATCACAAGTGCCATCAATGCATCCTAATAGTGCGCCAACGTCAAGTCCAACCAGATCACCATTTCTTAAAGCTTCAGCAGTGCCTTTAGTTGAACCATCAATGCCCCCTACAAATTCACCATCAAAGACTCCATCTACATCACCCTCTGTTCTGTTGTCTGTGACGCCATCTGCTTCTAGCGTGCCTTCAATAACTCCCTTTGGTTCTCCTTCAGCACTCCCTTCTGTTGATAGTTCGCCTTCAAGAACTCCCTCTGGTTTTCCTACAGCAGGGTCTTCAGCACTCCCTTCTGTTGATAGTTCGCCTTCAACAGCAGGGCCTTCAGCACCCCCTTCTGTTGATAGTTCGGCTTCAAGAACTCCTTCTGGTTCTCCAGCAGCGGGGTCCTTAGCACCCTCCTCTTTTTCTAGCTTGCCTTCAAGAACTCCTTCTGGCTCTCCTGCAGCAGTGTCCTCGGTACCCCCTTCTGTTTCTAGCGCGCCTTCAACAATTCCTTCTGGCTCTCCTGCAGCAGTGTCCTCAGTACCCCCTGCTGTTTCTAGCTTGCCCTCAGGACTCCCATCCAGCTCGCCCTCTGCAAACCCATCTTTGGTGGCCTCTGCAATCCCTTCCAAGACAACCTCGAGATCACCATCACTGTTGCCTTCATTTGGTCCATCACTATTGAACTTCCCTTCTGATTTCTCTTCTCCCCCTTCGGACTCACCCTCACAAGGACCATCCATTTCCCCTTCTGAGTATCCATCAAGATTGCCATCCAGTACTCCGTCAGATATCCCATCATTATATCCTTCAGAATCTCCTTCGAGAGTCCCATCAAAGACACCCTCAGAATACCCTTCTCGGTTTCCCTCATTTGTGCCATCTGACAGTCCATCAGCACCCCCATCAAGTATGCCTTCCAAATTGCCTTCTTTATCACCGTCAGATGTACCCTCAGCAAGCCCTAGCTTTGGCCCGTCAAATGTGCCTTCATTGCAACCCTCTGCTATTCCCTCTTCTATCCCTAGTACAAGTCCATCGTCTAAGCCCTCTGCAAGTCCCAGTTCAGGTCCCTCGAGTGTGCCTTCAGTTTCACCATCTGACGTTCCTTCTATGATCCCTAGCACAAGCCCATCAGATCTTCCTTCCATCAGTCCTAGCAAAGCTCCGTCGTTTCTGCCGTCGCAAAGTCCCAGCTCGGTTCCATCAACATCCCCTTCTGCGCATCCCAGCTCGGAGCCCTCAATTACACCTTCCACAACTCCTTCTTCAAGCCCATCCATAAGCCCTAGTTCGCTGCCTTCCAGAAGCCCTAGCTCGGCTCCATCACAGGTGCCCTCAACACATCCTAGCGCTTCTCCGTCTCAAGTACCCTCAACAAGTCCTAGCTCAGCTCCATCTAGTGTCCCATCCAAAAGTCCTTCCTTGGAGCCATCAAGTACACCTTCCAAAGGTCCTACCTTAAGTCCGACGTCAAGTCCTTCACTTCAACCATCATCCTCGCCAACATCACAGCCCACCAGGAGTGGGCTGGTGCCTGGTTGCTCTAGGTTATTATTCCGGAGTTTGTTGTCGCAAGTATGCATATTCAGGTGGTTCTCCTGCTGCAACTGCTTTTGGTGCCTGTGTTGTGGGTCGGTGGACAGATCCAACAAGTTGCTACAACGATTGTGTTGCTCAGAATGGGGCAAGTGCATGTGCCCAATTCACTTGGTATAGTGGTACAGAAACCACTGGCTCAACACCAACCACGTGTTGCTTTATTGCCACAAACACAGCTCCAACAAATATTTTCTCACTCAACTCGCCTTCCCTAAACAGTAATCCACCGTGGGAATGTTCAAAGTTGTAGGGGGTAAGCGATAAGCACCGCTGTTATATCACTTTTTTTGGCCCTCACTGGAAAATTGTATCTGAAGAAAAGCAAACAGCAGCCAATTTGGTACTTGTAGCTTTGAATGCAGGATGATTCAATCGTCCTCTTGTTTTGATCGCAGTGGGTGAAAAATTCCAGCACGGCCGCTGTCGGCTGATGGAGCCATTCCACTAGCTAGCCTTGTCATAAATTTCAGCAAGCTGGCCTGATCCAATACTCCACATTCCTCGTCAAGGATAGTCCGAATCTGATCCATGCAGGAGCTAGTTCGATTGGCTGATCCTTCGCCCGTGAGACAGTTTGCTCGACCGAGCGAGTTGTACTACGGTACCCTGGCAGCAGTCCATATTGAGTTGACCATTACTTTCAGGAGGGACGAGTAACTGGGCATCTGGTCGACAATCGATTCTCCGATTCGATTCTGTGTGGAGAGAACTATGAGAGCCGCAAGGTAAGGGCGTACAAGCCCGTGCGCGATTTCGAATGACACCGTACAAACGTACAAAGGAAAACTTCTTCTCTCTAGCTAGATGTACGCAAGCAAAAAAAAACTGGTCCACATTGTATTCGATTCTCTGATTCCAGCAAACCAAGGGATTCTAGCTAGCCAGCCTCATACCGTACCTCGATAATTCTTTTGAACAATGGGAAAGATTCAACCCCAACAGATCAAATGCAAGCTAAGGGACGTGGGGATGACTGGAGACTTCTATTCGACTTGACTCGAGTGACTCGACTGACGACTCACTTGACTCACGTCATTGAGTCGAGTCGAGTCGAGTCTATGATCAAGTCAAGAGGGGGGAAATTTAATGAAACCGGATTCCGTTACGGGTAGGGATAGGATGCTTTGAGCCACGAGTTCTGCGGGAACGAAATGGATTGGTTGGCTGGGTGCGTTGCTCGACCCTTGCTTGCCTCGATCGATCCACCAGCCAACAACCGACAACCCTCCTTCTCCATCCTCCCTCGTGTCCTCGATCTGTCTCTCCAAAGCTTCTGCATTGCCTTGGCTTTATCTCACAGCTGTACTATTCATAGCCCCCATTCCTTCCTTATTCATGTGTAGCTAGCATCACACCCAAGGTATCACGAAGATACCTACCACTATCTCTCTCG